GGTACAATATTTGTTAGTTGCTGTCGATTGTCTCTCTCGCTACTTACGAGTGGAACCCCTGAAGACCAAATATGCTAAGGAAACAACCGAAGCTTTCAAAAAAATGATCAAAACAAAACAACCAAAAAAAGTTTGGGTTGACAAAGGCACCGAGTTTAAAGGAGAGTTCGAAAAGTTATGTACTAAACGAGAAATCATGAAATACAACACTCACAGTGAAAAAATCAGCGTTTGCCGAAAGAAACATTCGATCGCTCAAAAGTATTATGTACAAATACTTGGAGTTTGAATGGACTTACAGTTATATTGAAAAATTACAAAGTTTTGTTCAAACGATTAACTCACGCGTTAATAGAGTAACAAAATTGGCTCCAAACAAGGTCACAAGAAAACATGTACCTGCTTTAGTTTCATTAATTGCAAACAGTTCATCGAAGTTGGTACAGAAACCAAAATTTTATGTTGGTGACTATGTGCGAATAGCGAAGACTGACTTTCCTTTTAGAAAAGGTTACAAACAGATTTTTACAGACGAAGTTTTTGAAATAGTTGCCATTCCTACTGTAAACCCTCCAACATACAGTCTCATTGATGCGGAAAAGGAAGAAATTAGCGGAAAATTTTATGAAAAAGAACTTAGTTTAATTGGAAACAAAGCTGATTATAACGAAAATGGGCAGTGATGAGTTTACTGTACATTTGATTTCCACAGCATCAATGGATTATTTCCCAGACAACACTTTGGCCAGTTTTAGAAATTTTTGTAAAGAAGAAATAGCTTTAGACGGAGATTGGAGAGTTGCTCTCTCAGAAATAATTTTCCCCACAAAATTAAACAATGTTACTGATGAGGAATTTACGTACTTCAGAGCATCCGAAGTAGTAGCCAGTAAATCCAACGCTGGCAATCGGAATACAATTTCCAGACCCTACTATGGCGAAAAAGTTTTTATCAAATCAGGAGAGTACACTTTTATAGAACAATTGATTAATAAGATAAAAACAAAACTCAAAGACAAAATTCATTTTGATGCGAGTCCTCAAGAAATCACGAATAGCATGAGCATTTGGATGAACGCAAATGAAGGAATCTCATTCCCAAGTCCCCAAATACCCAGTCTGTTAGGCTACAATGCAAAGCTTGATGAGAACGGTGAATATCACATTGGTTACAAAATGATACCCTCCTTCGATGCATCTTATGAGGGAAACGAACTGTACGAATCTCATTTCCCATATGACTTATCAAGTGGGACAAGTCTAATTTTTGTCTATATTGACATTATTCAATACCAAACTGTTGGTGATGCAAAGGCCCCATTGTTACGCGTCATTGATTCAAATAGACGGATCAAAAACGGTAGTGCCTGCAGCATTGAACCTAATCATCGAAAAAACTTCACTAATTTAGACTACAAAAAGTTATTCACTTCATCTGTACAATCAATATCGGTACAGTTGCGCACAGAAACTGGAAGACTAGTGCCCTTTGCAGGAACTGGTAAAGTTGTGTTGACTCTAAAATTCAAGCGCTTTGATTGAAAACCAATGTAACAATATTATGCAAAGCAAGCTTCACTTCCTCATTTCTCTGGACACTACCGACAACGCGGCAGTGGATTTGGCGCTTTGGCTGCTGGTATTGGTCGTGTTGCTATACCGTTTGCACGACGGGTTATTCTACCGGCTGCAAAAAAACTGGGCAGAGAACTTTTGATGAGTGCAGCGCCAGAACTAATTGATGTCGCTATGAAAAAGAAGTCTCCTAAACAAGCATTGAAAAACACTGTCACAAAAACTGCAAGAAAACAACTCGGTGGTGGTAGACGTCGTCGTCGAAAGACACCAATGAATGGATTACGAAGAAGAACGTCAGTAGGGGCTCGAAAAAGAAAAACAACCATTCGAAGAAAAACCAGACCAGTGAGAAGTCGAGCAGATTTTTTCTCAAACATAAAAAATTATCGCTAATTTGTTACCCAATGAAGCTACCCATAGCTCTCTGGATTTGTTTGAAAAACAACCTCTTTTGATTACTTTTGAAAACGCTTTTGATCAAAAAAATTGGACCTGTCTATTCACCTAATGGACCAATGCTTGAATTTGAAATCACCGGTGACCGTAATAATTTTGTTGACCTGCAAAAAATTTATTTGGAAATACGATGCAAAGTAACGCAATCAAATGGAGCTGATCTGCGATACGACAACACTGATCCTACTGTGTCTGATTCACCGTTCCTCGTAAACAACTCTGACTGTACCCTATCTGCTAATGGACTCAAAATCTCAAATGCCAATAGTAATTTTGCGCATAAAAGCTTTATTGGAACAGAATTTTCTAACAGCAAAGGAGCCAGGGACTCATGGCTTAAGTGTCAGGGATATCGTTTTGAAAACAATCCCGCTGCAATAGATGCAGCTGATTTCACATCTCAACGAGAACTGGTCCGTGAATCGAGGGAAATTTGGTTCTATGGACCCGCTGGAGTTGATTTTTTCACATGTGACAAGCATTTGTTGAGCGGTGTTACCCTCAGACTTTCCTACAGACGTTCTCATGAAGACTTTCTCATTATATCGGAGGATGCTGCCAAGCATTACAAGCTGCAAATACTCGAAGCGAACCTATATGTTAGAAAAATGACTGTGACTGACCATGTGCTCTCTGCCATTGAATCAACTTTGCTCAAAACACCTGCGAACTAGCCATATCAAGAAGAAATTACAAAAACATTTCTTGCAACAGCTGGTCAGCGCAGCTGGCAACAGGAAGATATTTTTGCTCGTGAACCGGTGAGACAAATTATCATAGCATTGAACACAAATAATGCATTTCTAGGAACAAACCGAACGAATCCTTTTCATTATCAAAAATTTGGATTGGAGCAAGTTACTTTGAGACGAAATGATTTACCAATAGCAAGTACACCAATCAGTACACAAGATCATAAACGTCTCTTCTTCAACACACTATCAGCGCTGGGTTTGTTGCACTGCGGGCTGGGAATCACTCTGGATAACTACCAACAGCACTTTATTATGTGTTTTGATCTCACTAGCACACAGCAGGCAGCTCATGACTTCTTGCATCCAGAACTTACTAACTGCTCAGTTTCACTCGATCTTCAATTCTCAAACGCTTTGACAGCAAACCTGGAAATTTTTGTTTGGGGTATACGCTCATCCAATGTATTTATTACCTCCGACCGCAAAGTTACAAAGAACGTCCTTCCCATTTCGACAGTCTGAAAATGGATGAAACCCAGTTGCAGGACCTCATTCAGAATTGTAAACATCTGAAATATAAGTTTTTTGGAGTATTTGCAGCCGACAATTTTCCACCTCTCATCCCAAACAATATCTTTATGATTGTGAACACTTCAAAATCAGATTCTCCGGGGACACATTGGATTGTGATATGCAACAGAATAAATGTTTTATACTTCGCTGATCCTCTCGGTCTTCCTCTTTGGCAGTACACCAATCTGTATAAACGATTGAACGAGAATTTTCATCAGGTGACTGAATTGATGACAAACTTTCCCATGCAAGACTCAAACTCTACCATGTGCGGTTCTTTTTGTATTTATATTGCACATTTGATTTTTGATAAAAACTTTAATGGTGATGCTTCTGATTTTGTTTACATAACTGATCATGTTTTGAAACGTTTCCTAACTCACATGCTTACCCATTAACTAACCATTTAATATGGTTGATTTATACATTTTACTATTTAATTTTGAACAATACATTCTTTTAGTAATTGAAATTTTACCCAATTGTTAACTGAATAGCAGTAATTCGAGAAGTTAAGCTTTTTATCAAAGTGAGAAAAAAAGAAAAAATCGATCTATGGGGGGATATCACCATACCAGCAACTGTACAATTTCCGGACGGGTTTCGAAACGCCGCCTTTCGGCTGAGAGTCGAGCGCCATGCGTTTTCCTCTACTCAGACCCCAAGAAATTTTGTTCCACTTCAATTTTATAGTAACAAGTTAGGTACAAGTCTTAGAAATGATTGCAGCAAAATTAATGGGCACTTTTGGCTTTCATCAGTGTTCTCGTTTTTCAAGATCTTTAGACACTTCAACCTTTTAGCTCTTTCAATCTTTCTATAAAATCAAAGCTTTTGTCATAGATTTCAGACGTTTATTTTTCAGTCTCCTGTAGACACGGAAAATGGAAATGTCGAAACTTTCAAGCCAATTTCATTATTTTAGAGTTTTCAGTGTTTCGTAATTTTTCCTTATTTTTTAGCTTCATTTGGCTTAAAGTAATTTTTCATTCTTATTTTGGTCAAATTGATTATTGCCTAAATAGAGGTGGCGGCCGCCGCACTTGACGAATTTTCCTTTCTCCGAGATTCAGCAATAAAACATGCATTTTTGAAGGAAATCGTTCACCGCAGCCAACAGTTAAGCTACGCTGCCAAAATCTTGTGCTTTCCTATATACCATATAGTTTGGTCGCATATAATAGGTATATAACGCCATTTTACATGTAAACAAATCAATACCCCCAAACTTTAGAAGGGAAAACATGCACCGACCAAAACTTAACTTAAACTATTCCCGTTTCCACAACGTTCAGTGGGAATACTCAATAATATACCGAAGTTTTACACGAGGACTATTAGGTATAAAACTATACATGGTGACAATTAGGATTATTACATAGTGACCATTAGGTATAAAATTATACATGGTGACAATTAGGATTATTACATGGTGACCATTGCTGATCATTTAATACATGGTGACCATTATGATTTATACCTAATGGTCATCCATGTATGACAACCCCCCCCCCCCCCCCCGATCCTAACGCACTATATGCATACTACTCTCATAATATTTAACACGTTTCGCTAATGAGCATTTATTTGTCAAGAATGATAGATTTTATTTTACGCTCTTTTTGATAGACTTAATTTCAGGTCTACACCTTATTTAACTCGTTTCATTTCACTTAGACTAAAAGCGGTTAATCTAACCTTCTGGTGTGATGAACTTGTTTGTCTTGGACACGTAGAGCGGCATTCTATGACTGGCTAACACCGCTTCCACATTCAGTTCCCGGATGTCGAGGAAGTCGGAGTGACCCGCTGTGAACTCTGCAATGACATCCTGTGTTTGGTCCAGGGCGCTCGAATCAGTGAACTCCAGATCTCCTGTATCTACGCCATTAACATTCTGGTCAACACCTGAATATGAAGAAATGTTTTCCCGTAATTTTCCAATTATGAGTCATAATAGATCATATTATGTAAGATCTTCATTTAAAAAATTTCAAAAACTTTTTCATGTTTACATTGTAAAAGCACATCAAAAAAACCAAATCAGGAGTTCTTGACATTAAGACAGTTTTTTTTTTAATTTCTAAACCGATTTTACTAAATTTGTTAAAGTTGGTCCAAAAATGATTCGTTTATCGATAATCGCAAATCAATCAAGTGACATTTTTTTCAAAAACTAATTGAAAAAATGTACAAAAAACGGTACGATAATACATTAGTTTAACAAATTCACAGCTGACGCCTGAAACTGAGATGATATGTCGGATGGAACTGCTAAGTCAAAATCTAACCAGAGAGGGAAGCTTCGGTGCTGGTTTCTCTGGCAAAAACGGGATTCTTGAACACAAATGCCGACTGAGAAGAGATTCTAATTTCACAAGACTCAATAATTTGATCAGGTTGTGACTCTGTGGTCGGCAAAGAGAGACGACATGACACTTTTTTCCAGCTGTTGTCGTCTAATCTATAAAAGCAAGCATGAGAAAGCCCTGTTTATTCTGGTTAATTCAATGTTCGCAGCATTTTTGGTCCTCAAAAATGCACTCTTTTTCTTAATTTCTATTTCTCAATAACTGACGCCAGCTTATTGTTCCGACTTTCGTAGAAAACGGAAAATTTATGCTCAGTATGGTTTTTTATTCAGTCAATTAATAGTTTTCAACATAAATTTTTCATACCCCATTGAAGATACCGACATTCTGAGTTCAAATTCAAAGAGATATTTTACCTCCAATTTTTTTTGTAAAGTTTTAGGGGTTTAAAAATTGCCAAAAGTTGCTATGTTCTGGACTAAATTATGCGCGTTTTTGAAGATTTTATTCATATAATGCTGAGAGCGTAACGCGAATCATTTATGCGGGGCGAATTATCCCGCACAACAAACTCTCCTGTAATATTCGGATTTGACACTTTATGCTCATTTAAATTAATTGTTTTGATAGGTATTGTCATTTTCTGTTCTTTTTGTATTTGTGAAACTTGACTCTTAAGAACAAATTTCGTTGGCCTTTCTTTTTGATAGCAGTGACGTCTAGAATGCCAGATCTGTAGAAAAAAATTCCGTCTAATTTTGTTTTTGTAGCATCCGTCTAATTAATAAATGTTTATCAGTAGAAGGTCTATTGCAGTGGATCGAAGAATTTAACTACTTTTTTTGTTCTCCGCTTAATGAGACACCTGAAAACGGGCCGTGTTGGCTTAATGGTGTTCTCCCAAACGATTCTAATTGGTATTTATAAATTTTTTATAAACAGCTTTGTAACAAGATATCGTTTGGAAACAATTTATTATTATTATTTGCTTATCGTCTAACTTCCTAGGCCCACTCAAAGTTTCACACTTTGATTTTGTCCGTAATTTATAGGTTTTCAATATTTTCTTTTCCCAAAAACTATTCGATATGAATTAAGGGACAGTCGGAACATTCAGGGCTTTGCCCTGATATACGAGCAGTCTTGTTAAGTATATATAATTTTCTTGTACAGTTCTTTTAAGTGTAAGTTAGAAAGAAATATCGTGCAATTCTTGTTGTTGTAAATAGAGTTTTATTTGCAGTTAGGCAATTAGGTATCTTTCCGCTTTCCAAAAAACAACATGATCAACAAGCTCCTGACACTGCGAGCCTTTTTTTGAAAATTTCCTTACTAATCCCGACCCCTTTGATAACGCGCGCCATTGATAAAGGTGGGACTACTCGCAATACGGTGAAAACCTTAATGTTCCCGCTGCCTTTTAACGAGTCTGAAGTAGCTCTCAATGAAAAGCAGAAAATCGTGATTCAAACGAGACTGAAATTTTTAAACTCTTTATCTAATTCTTCCTACAATGGTCTAAATTTGAATTGAATAATCAATTGAATAGAACTTTCTAAAAAAACACACGGCAAATAAGTCGACAAAAATTAGGCCGAAATCACTTAGCCCTACAAAAAAATTTACATCTGAAATTTTTTTAGCAATAGATCTACTAATGCATTAACTCTTGGCACAATAACTCGAGGTGTTAACCGTGCAACGTGCTGAAAAAGGACATCATGAAACTGGAGATCATCTTGTGAACAAAGTTCTTTACGGGAAAAAAGTTCTTTCTTATTCGGGGAAGGGAAGAAAAAGAACCTGATTTTCTTCATTTTTCTATTTTTAAATTTATTTGCCAAAAGATTCGACTGAGTACTGAGGATATATATAATATTTAGATTCTGCTAAGGTATACCGAAGATTACACTTACTCTGTTTCGGAGAGCACAATTGTCTTTTCCGTCTTTTCCTGACTCATTTTGTAGGCGAATACTACCTTCAGCTCTGCACTGGTGGATTCTGCCGAGCGAGCATCGAGTTCCACTTTGAACAAATTCTCTGCAAATACATTGAAAATTTTATGAGTTGGACAAGGAACTTTGCCACAAAAACATAGCCAACAGACAGTTGGAAAAAATAGTCAATGAACGCAAAGAAACAACAACTTTCGAATTTCAAAGAAAAAAAATATATGGCCCTAAATCTCTTTTAACTTCCAGAACAATTTATGATTGGCATTTTTTTGATGAAATTACCTCAATGTGAAAAAACTGGAGCATTAAGTAAAGTTTTTATTCCTGTGGGAAATCTAAAAATTAATTTCCACCTGCAAAACTAGAAATCGATCACGTTTTTTCGCCACATTTACACGTTCGTATTTGGATAGCGCAATTTGACTGCTTATTAGCAGATGCATTTCAAACTCAAAAAGTGCATATATACCTAAGGGCATTTATAAATGCATTTAAGTGTTTCAATGCACTCCAGGTTACAAGAGCATTTTGAGAGTTTTCCTGAAAAAAAATCATCGCGACCTATAAAAGAGTCTGAACTACGTTCATCGACTCTTAAAAGTACAAAGTTGAACGCCTCATCTGAATCACGGTTGATATTGAAGAGAGGTTTTTATATATGTCAAGTCAATTCATCATGAATATTTACATATTTGTGATCAAAACGTTGAACCACTAGTGTCGGAACAGTCGGTGTCACTTCCGCTGTATTCGTGTTCTCTTGCTTCTTAAACTAACTTGGTACTTGGTTGTTTTGCATAATCATTTTCTCTGTTATTCAGATGAAAAAACATCCTTTCACATATTTTTATGACCACTTCTCAGCATATAGAGTGGTACATTTTCTACAGACTTATATTTAAAAATTTAGTTGCAGCAATCAACTAATTGAAGAAAAAATGGTCAAGTATCTTTTTATATTTTCAATGGAATTATGTTGGTCTCATTACTCACTTTTTTGCACAAGATATGTTACGTCATAGGAAACTTCAAATTCAGACGCCCTCGTGAGACTGTGAACTTCGCTGGCAACCACAGAGCAGGTTCCTTTCTTGGCAACTTTCAGTTGGGTAGAATAATTTTTGGGCAAAAAGTAAGCAGGTGATGTCTGTCCAATTAAAATCGTCAAGTCTTTGTTTTCGAACAAGTTTGTTTTCTGGCCTAGTTTCGACACTGAAACAAGACACTGGTTAGTTTCAGTTTAAATGAACGATATATTATCGTACAGAGGCGACGCTGCGCTTAGCATACATGAGTGGAAAAAATTAAATAAACCAAAATTATTATTTCACCACAGAAACGCAAGTGATGTGCGGACTTGCTTTTGAAACGCAAATGATAGGTGATATTCTTACGTTCTGGCGTATCTTCAACTAGCTCAAACTTTGTCACACAAAATGATGTCTCTCTATCGTCGGTGACATTTATGAAAAGTGTGCTCTCGAACGGATCTTCGGCTTCTTCACTTTTCGGCAAATTGAGCATCCCTCTTACTTCCATCCAATCATCTCCATCAGATGAAATAATCGCCGCAATGAATACAACCGTTTCTTTTCTAGCGACTTTCGATCGCTTGAACATCAAAGCACATGTTACCAAACTGGATTTAACTGAGTCCATTTTCAGCAGAAAAGTCATTTTATATCTATTGTTGAATTTGATCACGCTTGATACGTTCTGAGAAATCGCCGAAGCCTTCCGAGGTCTGTCAACTTCGCAGTAGCACATGTCGAGGCTTGAGTCGTATTTCGACTTCAATTGAGCGCCGCCTATTGCTGACCAATGAGATGGTACTTCGGAATGTTCTGCGAAGTTTTCCTCGTCGAAGGTGGCATTTCGAATCAGGTTCACTTTCGGCTCGGGGGCTAGCAAACAAATATTTAACTTTTAACAAATATGAATAGCCAAAATTTCATGCAACTATTGTACAACCATTCATACAACTTATGTTCATATAAAAAACACTCAGAATAATAAAAAAAACTCCCGAAAGCTAGCTCGAAAAGTGTGACTGGACTTGGGTAACAAAACAAAAAAAAACAATTAGTAATATATTGAAATCTTAGAGTTAAAGTTCTTAATTTAAGATTAAATTCTGATTCATAGTGCGAATATTTAGCAGCGAAACTTGTAAGACAGTTAGGACTTATATTACGTCCTTTTAACCAGTGGACTGAACTCACCCGAAGGTCTAAGCACAGGACTGGCCACAGGAGTCGAACTCTCATTCCTTTCATCTTCGAGTCCTTTGTCTACCCCTTCACCTTGTGCAAAAAGAGCCCTTCTTTGCTGTCTGGGGTTCTTCTGGGTCTGTGGTCTGGATGGCAGCTGGATGTCAACTGAGGGACTGTCTCCCCCTCCGAATGAGTCATCGTGGCCGGAGGGTAGTGCTGATTTACGATACGTTATTGTGCCTGAAAATTTGTGATAGAACTAGAAGTCAATGAATTCAAGAAAATTAAAAACTGATTTCAAAGCAATTGGGTTATTTTTTGGAACCAAAAACACCGAATAAGACCGAAACAAGATTGAACAAATAAACAAAACCATCGATTGTTGTTTTGTTAACCCGTTTAACATTTCAATGGAAGAAACAAAGTATGCATAGGAGCCAAAATAATTGCACTAGTTCAATGAAAACAACTTTTTAGTCTAGCCTTTTTTGTTCAGCATAAATTCCGAGTTAACTTTTGAGAAATTTTAGAAAACATTTGAGCGAATCAGGGCGGCTCTTACCATCTGCGCCTATATTCTGCGGTCGAATCACTGTTTTCCCCAGTTGCCGAGCAGCATATGAGTCAACAACTTGGTCCAGTAGCTCCTCCCAACATGTCATCAGTTCTCCTTCTGGTCCAAATAGATACAGGGACCCACAGGAAGTTCCCAGACCCAGTTTTGAAGACAACGAAGAGATTAACTGAAAATCAGTATAAAAATCAAGTCAGTGATACGAAATATAACCGAGTGCGGACGCTACTGTCAATGCCTCGTTTGAAAGGCCTAGCCTCGTCTTACAGAAACGGTATTAATGCAAAACAGGAGATTTTTTTATGAAAAATTTCAATGTGCATTCAAACAAATTCGTCAAGTTCAATAGATTTTTTTTACGGTTCAAGTGAATCGCTGAATATATCCAATTGATTTTACATAAAACAATAAATCAAGAGTTGTTATTAACGACCTCATTTAAAAGTTTACTTTAAAAGGCAAAAATGCGAACCTGCTCATATGAATTTGCAGAAACCAAGACTGGCATATCATTCACGTTACAACCATTTTTTCTCGCCAGCACAGAAATGAACAGTTCTTTTTCATAAAAAGAGAAAGGCTTGTCAGGAATGGTGACTTTCTTCTTGTGTTGGTTTGCCAGATCTGTTTTCAGCTGCGCAAGGGTTAGCACTTCTTTGTCGGGTGACAAATCTACTGGTTCATTGGTCAAAGCCTTGAATGATCCTGTGAACTTCTTGGTGAGAGGCAGACCTTAAATTTCATTGATTTCAATCTTTGATACTACTCTCTCTACCCCCATTATAGAACATATGACATAATAACATGTAAGACCTTGGAAAAGATACAAAGGAAAAAATAACATAGCCAACTTCGTAATTTATGTGCAAGTCCCTAACTTCACATTTTGAAAACCTTTTTGACTTCATTCAGGCAGATCTGAGAATGTTCATATTTTTATACGTGCCCTAATTTGGGCCTATTAATAAAAAGACTTCAGATGTCTGCATTTACTTACCGGAATGCATGGCACATGAGAATTTCTCCTGCTCTTCCATTTTCTCCACCACTTTTCCCATTCCTCTGAAGACACGGGCACAAGAGAAACAGAGCACGTACTCAGTGTTCAAATGACGAAACGCACCACCCTGAAACAATGTTCATTCGACAGCATTCAACCAAGGAGCCCATAAGCTTAACCACTGACCAATTGAAACGCCATGCCTTTTATTCAATTTCAGGGATTAATTTTGGCTGTTAAACTAATGTTTTTTGAAAAATGACTGGAGTTTGAGGTCCTACGTACAGGCTGAGAAATTATCTCTGTGTTGTTGAGCGCGGCTGAACAAACTCCCACACGATTGGCAATTGTTAGTCCTGAAATAAAAATATCATGTTAATTCAAATCAATCTAAACCGAAACAAAATTAATTTTAACATAAAAACATCCAAGGCTGAAATGGTAGCACCCTAAGATTCTTCCAAAGTCGAGCCACAAAAGGTAAACGGAAATCCATACCATAGTTAGACCAGATAAGAAAAGCTCATATTAACCGCTCTTAAATTAGTATAATAGCCAATCATAAAATCTGCAGTAAGCGTGCCAATATTGACAGCTTTGTAAAATTCTATTGATAGTACATTTATTGCCATTGAATGTTCTGCAAGGAGAATCGCCCCTTGTTGCTTAAGGGTGAGACAAAATTACCCAGCCCCGAAAAATAACCAAAAAAATTAAATGTAGTTCTTAAGCAGGGGCACAACAGCGGTTCGATGTGATGAGCTGTACAGCTCGTATGTTGGTCCTTTCCCTCGAGGATAAATGGTCTTAAAAAGTGAACTAATTAAAACTCACTTATGTCAACAGAATTAGTCGCAAACGCGTCAATAATTCCCAACTTCACATCGATACTCCATTTAAAATGTGCGTTTCCAAACTCATACGAGGTCATAGGCTGCAACATAATTTCACAGCCCCGATAGAGCTCCGATTTATCAGGACGAGTTTCATCCCCAGGCAAACAGGCCGGAATGCATATGGCTAGAGATTCGGCAGGCATGTCTTTTGGACTTATTTGCCCGTCGTTATGGAAAATCCATTTCTGCATGGGATCCAGGGCATTAAACGTGGCCAAAACAAGCCTTCCAAACTCGTTCACAGTAAAGGCAAGTTTTGGATTGAACTTGCAGATGATGAACTCGTGATCCTTAATGAGAAAGCTTTGTTTGAAGTAACTTGGGCTGTAATTCTCCGGTTTTTCTGGTTTGGGAGCTGGTCTGTAAAACAAATTATTAGTTTTGAAGAAGATTAAAACATTACTAAACACGACAAAACCCTTCTTTTTTCTTCACCAGTCGGCCTATTTTGTAAATTTCAATTTTTGAAAACCAATGTCTTAGAACATTTATGCGTACAACTCTCCCAACATGCTTCACTCTGTGCTCGACTATTTTTGACCAACACCTAAGGACGACTTACGTTAAAAATTATCAAAAAAGAGGCCGAATTATTAGCGCTATTCAGTTTGCACGCAGAAGTATCGAAAATTAAAAACGAGCCAAATGAAATGAAATATTCCCATAATTTTGATCTTTCATCAGTTCAGGATTTTGAACGAATACTGACGGTGTCTGTGGTGGCACTTCGTAGTCGTGTATCTGACAGGTGTTGGATCCCTTACACATCTTACAGTGGGACATCCACTGAAACTCGTGGTGTTTCTCCATGTACTTGTCAGCGTAGTAGTGGGATCGAAAACGACAGTTTCTGAAACACCACGAAAGATATTTTCGGTAGAGTGAATTCTTTAAACAAAAAACGACTCTGGGATCTCATATTCGCATTCATTAGCTAACAGAAACCTAAAAACGTCTTTAACAAATCATTGAAGAATCGAAAAACGTCTGCAACAATTCAATGACAAATCAGTTATCAAGATCTTGTAGATTTTTTTCAACTCCGCCTAGGTAAGTCTTTAACTCTTGAGTTAAATGCGAATGATCAAGAATAAGCAAATGGTATGCGTACTACCGGGCAACAAACAACGAAAACAATGACACAACAGTCTTCTAATTCTGTTGAGGCGTACTAACTGTTTGGCGAGCATTTCCTCCTCCGTCTCAGGGGGGGTTGGCACTGGGGAGGGAGTGGGGGTCCTGCCTATGGCTTCTCTCTCCTGTCCACTCAACTCACATATGCCCACTTTGACGAGAGAACCCGCTTTGAGGTCGCTACCTTCCACCTCCATACAGAGACCTGCAGATCACGTAAGTTACCAAAGAAATAGAAACAAATTTTATTACGATGAACATTTCTGCGATAATTAAGTCACATTAAGAATTTAGGTTGAATCAAAACTGAAATTAATTCAAGCATCATAAAGTTTGTCAATAAGACAACAAAAAATTTATTGTAGAACTTTCATGGCTTTCAAACCATGATGAAATCTTGGCATTCTACATCAACCTACAGGATGTAGAAAGCAAAGAGTTCCGAATAGTCCAGAAACACACGAGGAAGCCACTGCGTTATTTTCTGATATCTACAGTCAAAAGCTGTGGAGATCAGAAAATCATTATTTGACAGACATAATGATGCTAAAATCAATCTGAACAGGACTGAATTGAATCCCTGAGGTATATAAAAAAGCCCTCAAGTATTTAAAAGTATTTAAATAATATGAATTGCTTGCCTCTGAAGCTAGTCAGTGTCTGCAACTGTTCGATTGCTCTAACATCAGCAGCCAATCTGGCTACATAACTGGCCTGACTTATATCACTGGCAGCCTCCGGATTGACAAACCCCTCCCCCATAGTCACATAGACCAGGTCGTTCTTGTTCAGACTCTCAAGCGAGGTCAGTTCTTTGCCAGTAGAGTCAAAGAGTCTCCGACATGCAGAGGGCAGATGTAGACTAGAAGTACATTGTTCCAGGAACTGAAACGAATGTTAACTATAGCGAGACGTCCAGTCACCAATACCTCCGCTTGATAGCAACATTATGGTCATAACTAACGCGTTCTCATTGTATTCTTCGTCGAAGATTTCATCAAGTCATCCGAGGAATGTAATTTTATTCTTTTTTATCTACAGCACACATCAATAACTGCTAGAATGACATACCATGTTAAACTCATGTTGTCGGATGGTGATGTCCAAACAGTGTATCTTGCCCGATACTTCAATTTCAGCCCCTCCTCTTCTCCCTTTGTTTTTCTTCTTCATAATCTCCGTTTTCATCTTCAACTTCTTGTACAGCTGAAACAACTTTTATAAATAACTCTTTAACTAGATATCGTTTGGAAACAATTTATTATTATTATATTATTAAACGGAATCAATGCACTTAAGTCCTAGAAATAATTTATTGGGTATTTTCAACTTAATAACGTCGTTTATGTTAAAAATGAGCTTTTTCTGACTAGGGAGCAAAAAATGCTTATGAAACAATTTCTATTTATGAAAACTTTATAATAAGCATTTTTTCCATCGGAAGTAAAGATGTTAAAATAATTTTTAGAATATTTTAAATTTAATGACGTCGTTTATGTTAAGAATGAGCTTTTTCTGGCAATGAGTTTTCTGCATAAACAAAAATTGTACGACAAGCATTTTTTGTCTGGCTTGGTTTTCCAAAACCTATAACTTAAAGAAAAAATCGAAAGAGGTTTAAAATATATATTAGGCTCACAATAGATATGCAACTTCAAAAAAAATAATTCGTCAGCTACTTTGATTTTATACAATTTGTTTTTAAAATGTTAAACACATCCGACTGATCCGAGGAGTCGTTTCACGTTAAGACTGGCGACACAAAGGCTAATTGAATCTGTACATCTTCGTTATGATGATACAATTGGATCCATCTTAAAAATTTTCAAACCATTCATTCTCATTCCTATCATTACTTTGTAAACTAGCTACAATTGCTTCGGCGCTCTCTTTAACACCAAAAATCAGCTGTGCCTTTTGAAAGCATAAAGCAAATGAAAAAATTCGGTGGAAAAACTCGATTTTTCGCCGCTCTATTTGCCCTAATGTGCTTATTAATGATACAAGATAGCTATGAAGAAAATATCAGCTACAGTCAACATTTTTGAGTGATATCGCAATTTCCGATTCCATCACAAAATAAACAAGTTTGCACTTACTGTCCGCTAACATAGGAAGCAATCCATTCAAATTTCGATTTTTCATTTGAACTTGTTTCCAGCTGCCACGAAAGATGACGAGCAAGAACTCACATTTCTCAAGGTATTTTCAATTTCGTTAAATTTTTAGCCGCAACAGCGAATAAAATAATTTCTAAAAATATGTACCGAACAAACACAGTTAAAAGCAACCTACCAACAATCAATCAACAGACATTTTGCAGTGATGCTGAATTTCCAGACGACTACAAAATCGGATTGTCATTGGACTTTTGAGAATTACAAAACGCTTGAACAAACTGTTATAATAAAAAAGAACTATTTTTCAGACAAAACCTATGTTTGAAAAATGTCGAAAATTCAATTTTGAATCTAAAAGTATGCCAGGATGAAAAATTTTTTCTTTTTAAGCATATAAACTTGAAAGTTTCGGATCATTAAAAGGAGCAAATCAACTATTACAGACAGTTTTTGAGAACTAAAGCTTGTTTTGTCAAGACTGGAATAAAAGTAGCCTGAAACTTAAAGTTTGAATGCAAAATTTGATAAAAGTTGCCATATTGCGCTTTTAATTTAATTTGGTCTGTTCCAATATTTTGTAACTCTTTATAGTTATTGCCAAATTTTCGCGGTATCCTTTTAATCACACAAAACTGATCACTGCAACGTCAAAAAAGTGAGTTCGAGAAATGCAAAAAGAACAATATGCCAAATTTGATCGTATTTTGCATTCAATCTTGAATGTTAAAGAGACATCACTTTTTTCTGATAAAATAGCGTTTGCATAAAAAAATAATCTAAAATGAATTTTTTGCTCTTTTAACTAATTGTCTGTTCGAACTTTTTAATAATTGTTATAACCTAAGTAAGCTTTTTAACAATTAGGTTGCTCGAGGTCGCCGATATTGCCAACAATTTGGCATTCGCTGTAACGTTTTAAAATTTTGAAATAAATCTTAATTTCGAGCTAAAAATAATGCTAAAAAGGCGTGCTGGACATCAAGCCAACCGTAATTCAATCCGAGTAGTAAAATTACAATTCCGAGCTTTGCATGAGCTTTTTTTAACAAGTTATTGGCTTTTTCATAATGTTTGAGACTCTACTAGATGTTTTGGAATATTAAAAACAAAAATTTTTGGAGGGGTTTTTCATGTGTATAATGCATGCATTTCAAAATCTGGCTGATATAACTATCTGATGCCACTCCTAAGTAGTGCATTGTTATGAAGAACGCTTATTAGGTACGAATTTGCCTGATTTTTGAAAATAATGAAGTAACTGATGAAAATTTAGCGCTTTGAGGTTCTTGTAAAGTTTAAATGTCGGCTTTAAATTCCTTCGGCTTAAAGTTCCGTCGGACTGTTGTCCTAGACCCGACAAAAATTTCTTTGAAATTTGCTTTTGCTTTCGCCATTTTATCGTTGTTTTCATTGAAAATTTGCACTGCAGACCACTTTCGAATGCAAGTTATCTGAAGTTACAGGCTTAACGTAATAAAAAAAGTCACGTTTCTGAAAAAAAAAAACGTTAATGTTTTGCATGGCTCTTTTGACAGTTCAAATGCAATTTTGAAACCATGGTAGCAACTTCAACGCCATTTCAGTCTCAAGGTCAGTAATATTTCAACATTTTCAAGGCGTCGAACCATAAATTCTTTAGAAACTATAGAAAATTGCAAGAAGTTGGAACAGACAGAATTAATTAAAGGGAGCAATTTTCCTATAGAGAGTTGCAAAAAGTTCGGACAGACAGAAATAATTAAAAAGAGCAACTGTCTAGACATCAACTGAAATTAAAACTTAAATAAACATAACGTCGAAAGTTCATAACGCAGAGTATCGCTTAAAATTTATAACCACGGCGGGCAATTGCATCCGAAGCGGGGAATAGTAAACCTTGAAACGGAAACAGGGGGGCTAAAATTTTTCTACAATTAATTTCTAAATTTCTAATGATTCGATCATCTTATTTCCGTTTGTTTTTTTTTGGAACGGCCTAATCTGTTTTTTTTTTGTTGAAAATAACTATAGTTTTTAGTTTTTTTAACTACTTTTGCTAACTATTTTGTAGTAAATCTGGATGTCGCAGCATTTAAAAATTAGGCTAGCATAATCATAGGATAATCGACGATCTTGCTTTTCGAATTTGGTCTGACAAAAAGTTCAAGGTTGTCCGGCGTCAGATTTTGCATGCAAAGAAGCGTCAAAAAGCACTGATTGCTCATTTTAATTAATTCTGTCTGTCCGAACTTTTTGCTACTAATTATAATTCAGAAAAATTTTACATGCAAAAATTAGCTTAAATTTGCATGCAAAAATTGTTCAAAATTGGCAGATTGCTCTTTTTGATAAATTCTGTCTCTTCCAACTTTTTGCTACTTATTATATAGAGGGTTTCAAACAGTTCGGACAAACAGATTCAATTAAAAAGAGCAATCGTTCCATTTTGACAGATTTTTGCAGTCATTCTTCTCAGAAAAACATGAGACACAAACTTGGTCTGATAAAATAGATTTTGCATGCAAAATTTTTCCTTAACAGGTCAATTGCTCTTTTCAATGAATTTACTGTAAGAAATTTTTGCTAACTATAGAGTTGCAAAAAAGTTCAGACAGACAGAATTAATTGAAAAGAGCAATCGTACCATTTTGACATATTTTTGCATGTAGTTTTTTTTCATACAACCTTGAGACACAAAATCGGACTGAAAAATTATATTTTGCATGCAAAGTTTTTCCAAAATAGGTAAATTGCTCTTTTTAATTAATTTTGTCTGTCCGAACTTTTTGCTACTAATTATATATTTAATTTGCAAAAACCTGGAACAGACAGAAAAATTTTAAAAGAGCAATCTGCCAATTTTGAGCAGTTTTTGCATGCAAATATGATATTTATGGTGACCTTGAGACATACTTTCCGGCAAACTTTGTCTAAAATAGATCATTCGCTTTTTTTCAAAGTAATTTTCTGTTCCATAACTGTCTATATAGAGTTACTTTTCTCTTAGCTGGGGGGGGGGGTTTACAATGGGCCAAATGCTCTACATTCTTTTTTTTTCAGTTGCATTTTGACCAGCACGTGCATGATTTAGATTTTAATTTACTTGAGAATTGTTAGCCTTTTAGATCTATGTTCAACTACTTGACATTACTTTGTCTGTTGATATCCTTCACCTGTCTGTTATTCACGGGGGATGCGATAATGATGAAGGGACCGGGGCTAGATGGCTGCCCTGGCGAACTTTTTTCATGCAGCACCGAAGAGCTGGAGTGCATTCAACAGTAAGTCACAATTATACCTATTTGTGGCACCCAACAAAAGTAAGCGGAGACTTAATTTGGGAGACTTTTCCACGCCAAATCAGGCACCGTAGCAAACAACAATATTAATGGAAGTACTCTATTATATGAAGAAATCAAAACATGCCACTTATCTTACAAAAATTCACTTCAGACAAAAAAAAACATTTCGCGATACCCTCTCCCTTAAACAAATTCCCTTAATAAGACAACATTTCAAGTCACTTGATCCTGTAAGACAAAGATTGAAAAAAATTGCGGTTTGCGTATCATTTATTCCCTTTTCCAACTTTAATGCGGCCAGCACTTCCTCAATAACAGATGAAAATGTAAATTGTTTGTAAGCAGTATCAAGGAATTCGATTACGTGTTTTTCTTACGGCGAAATAGAACTTCGGGTTCTTTTTCAGTTTCCCAGACCATCATAAAAATACAATATAAAGTTGAAAACTTAATCACACGGCATTTTGCAGGTTTTATTGCAGTTTAGAAAATTGAAAGACATTTATTATAGGTTTTTTTTCAGAAAAAAGCAACGGAAGACTCGAAAAAAGCCAAAACTTGAAATGTGTGTGTGTGCGATTGATGGAATTGTTAAATTTCATGTCCTTGTCATATCACTTGATATGTGCTTGAATTAGACGAACTCGCATCTGTATTTCAGGATGGACGTGTGCGACGGTATCACTCATTGCCGCAATGATATGGACGAACATGCCGTGACATGCTACGGGGCATTCTAGAACATCTTCTGAGGGAAAACAACCACTGTTTACGCAACAAAGAATTAAATCAATTGAACTTTAAC